TGCTTTGTATATAGACTATTTGTGGGTGGCTGTTTGTTGTTTCACCTATCAATTCGTGTGGATAAAGTATAATAGGGTAAATCCTGTATAGTGATTTATCCTATATAGTGCTTGCATAAAGCAAGTAGTGCATACACTTGTCATTGTCATTGTAAGCCCTCTTTTGAGGCACGCGCAAGCGCACGAACACAACCCCCCCCCATTATAAAAAAAAACAAGTGGGCTCCCCCAAAGTCCACGGTACAGTTCGAACACTGTTGTAGCTGATACATTAGATCATGTGATGGAGTGAGTCTCTTACTCGATGGTGATGGGGTCCAACACTCCAGTGATCTCCAGCCCGTAAAAGCGCTGCATGTCACTGATGGCGTTCAACAGGATTTGAGCTGAGCGCATGGTAGACATCTGCTTGCCGGCCTGCGGGAGGTAGCCGTACTGCCGTAGCCATGACTAAGTGAAAATCACAGACAAAAGGAATTAAATAAGTGATCTCATTAGAAATCACATTTTCTTTGATCTTTTGTGATCAGGGATGTTCATGGTTATTGTTATTATTAATTTTGTCAAAATTTATATTAATATGTATTTCACAATCTTAAAAGTGAAGTTTTAATGTAGAATGAGTATGTTCTATGCATGTTATTATTAACAGTAATAGTTCAAATAAACTGCTAATTAAATTCACTAATTAAATATATATTTAAATTGTAAGTAAAAAGTAATCTAACTGCATGATATTTGTAGTCCCCCACATTTTGCAATATTAATGTGGGGAATATTCAATTAATTATGAAAATTCCTGAAAACTTACATTCTTATTTGAAATATTTCAGAGTATGGAAACATAATGCAACTTTGAGAGGAAGTTTTTGATAACATTCTATAACATGTATTTATCAAATAGATTAATACATTAGCACATAGTTGGTATGAGTATGCAGTAGAAGCACAAAAGAAAAAAAAAGGAGAAAAGGGCCCCTCTGTTGATTTGACTGTCTGTGCGCGGGAATACAAAAATACAGAAGTTTGATCTGTTTTAACAAAAGCCATAGAGCTGTGAAAGTCTGCCAAAAGACACAAAATGACATGTCATGCGGCCGACTTTTGCGGACAAATAAACTGGGATATCTGTGCACAGGTACACATTGTTCATTTACATGCATTACAGAAACTATACAAACAATACAACGCTGGTTAAAAATAAGCAAACTTATCCTTTAAGGTTGAAAGAGATTATGAAAAACTAAATTAAGGCCCAAACAGCAGCATAAAATTTAACTGCTGTGCCATAAAAAAGATCACGTCATCAATCTGTCACTGCCTTGAGAATGAAGGAGAAAGAAGATATTGTCACAGACTGAAAGACCGTCACACCTAATACTGGTCCAGACTGTGTGAGAACACTTGAGGCTGATGTGACCACAGATTGAGGGGTGACGGCACCAGCTGGGCCAGCCAATTTATCAAGCTTTAGATCTGGCTCTCGCGTTGGATGCAGTGGGTGATTCCAAAAGGCCAGAGGGTCCATTAAAGGGGATGAAAGCTTGACATGATGCTCTGGTTTGAATTAAATGTGGTTGCACCTACTGCCTATCATCATTAGTCAGGCATTTAGCACAAATTATGTAATTAAACCGCCCCATTATTAAGCCCACCCTGTGGCAATGGCAACAGACTGTCCTTCACAGTGTTATTATAGTACCACTGAGATACTATTTTAGTATTTTTAATATTTAGAATTTTATATTTCTGTTTTCATTTTAGCTCTAGCAAATTTTCAGTTTTTTGTCATTTTTATCGGTTTTTATATAGTTTGTATTCATTAAAAAGAAATGTTGCCTTGGAAACTAGCTGAAATAAAATACATTTAATATATTTTATTTCGGTTAACGTTTATTTTAATCCAAGTAACAAAAACGTTTTTTTCAATGGTTTTAGTTTTAGTTCAATATAATAACCCTGGTCCTAAACCAGCCAGGACCTCCCATATAGAAAACAGATCAATTTAATATCTCAGTTGTTTCTCCTAGACAGTAATGGAATCAAATAGCAGAGAGCAGTTGGAGAAATCTCTTGCTTCACAGTTTAATCTGAAGGGTTTCAAAAAGTATGAACAATATCACAAATTGTTCTCCAATTTGTAAAATACCAGTCTACAAATGTCACATTCTCATCAAATACTGATGTGAGTTACAATATATTTTATAGCTATATACTCTTACTTTGTCAACAATTGTGTCATTTGTTTCTATTTTATTTTTTTCTAAAGAGAAACATCTGAAACAAAATAGATACTTGAATCATAACTGAGAACAAATGCAATACTAAAATCAATACGGAATCAATTGCTTAGAATTGTGTTCAGGACTTTACAGTGCTGTTTTTCACCTGGTCTTTGCAGAAGGCTAATGTGTTCGTCCCACTGGACTCTGCCTTTATAAGGTCCCCTTCTTTTCCTACCCTGTAACCAGGGCCCGTCACACAGTTGCCTGGTCCAGATCTCCATTTTCCACGACCACAGAAAACACAGGCCTTTGTGCCCTTCTGAGATGTGAAGGCAGCTGAATAAGAGTTAAACAGCTGAATAGCTGGCCCTGTTCTGGGCAAGGCTAATATGCCACTGCACCAATCATCTACTTTGTAGAAGCAGAAAGTCACGATAATCCAACATGCATAACTATTTCTCTGTACTTAAGGTTTTAGGACAAATGCCTTACCATAAATAAGTATTAAACTTTTACACCAGTCATTCTGCTACATTCATGCTACAGATATGAATGATGCCTCAAATAATGCAGCTTGTTTTATTACTTTTCCAAGTCATCAGATTAACAATTCTTGTCTGTTGAATGATACAGTTGATGAAAATTCCATAGACAGGGATCAAAACTGCAATATGATTTAGTGCGACTATCAAATCACAAGGGATGTGCATTTTTAGAATGAAGTGTGTCACTGTGTTCGTTTATACGCGAGCAGCTCATGATCCAGTGTCTCAGAGTAGCTCAGTTCACATATGGTGCTTAATACGAACTCATTGCTGCAAGTGCTCGGAGTTTGGGTTGCTTATAATGTGCATTTGGCATCTTCCTAAACTTGTAAAGAGAATCACTTATAAACATGCTGTGATTAACAAAAGAGCTATAAGGGCTCCCTGTGGTTTTTTTTGCCAAAATAAAAGTTTCAAGTTTGAACAAGAAAAAAATAGGAGTGTTGTAATTTTACAGTCATACTGTAAAAATGAAAATATATTTTTTTTTCTTAAATTACTTTTTATTTACAGTAAATATAACAATAGTAATATTTACTGTCTTATTTAGTAGTAATAACATATAATAAGTCAATAAATGTATTATTGTCATTATTACCAGTAGTAGTAGTAGTAGTAGTAGTAGTACAAAATCATATTGGTATATTACAGTCATATTGGTACATAATCACAAATTTTTTGGTCCAAATTGTGCAGCACTACCTAAAACAAACACACACGCACTTTAAATTGAAATGGCAATTTTTATCAGGAAAAAAAAAGCAAATTTTTTTTTTTTTTTTACACAAATCATGTCATCCTACTCTAGACTTACACCTAAAAAAGGACTCGATCCAACAACCACAATTAAAGAGACTTGGGCGTGGGCTCTTTGAACTTGGGCCAGTAAACAACCACCTAGCAACTAGCAACCTACCCTAGAAACTGTATATCAACCTGTTAAAAAACATTCATAAAACCTTAGGAACTTCATAGCAACGCCCTAGAGAATAACAACAACTCTAGTACCTTTTGGTGGTACAATCATTTACTTTGGAAAATATTTAATTATAATTTATTAATTGTTCTTCATGCAGTTTTTAGAAACTAGGGATTTTTTTTTAAATTGTAACAATTTTTACAAATAAAAATGAATTGCACCATAAAAAAAAAAAAGTGATTACAAATGCTAAAAAACTTGGCGATCACTTATGGCATCTAAAATCTACACTTTTTCCGCAATCATTTACATTTATTACATAAAAAGTGTTATTTCCACATCATTTGTCAACTACTCTTGTATTTCCATACCAAATCCAACAATCCCCAGCTTTCTTACTCTCCCTGAACACAATCCTCTTTGTATCTCCCATAGGGCTGTGAGAGAGGGAAGTGCTAAAGGGCTGCGCAGGGCAGGACACACCTTACCCCCACAGATAAGACTGCCTCGCTTTCAGTCATTCAGAGCCCTGGGGCTTTTAGCAGGGCGAGAGGTGGGAGGGTGTGTGTACTCCCACTAGAGAAAGACATTACCCTAGTGTTCTGCTTACTAGCTCATAAAGGACAACAACGTTCTTGCTTTCATGCTTTATATGTTCCTTCTTTAGGTCAAGGGCACCTGGAATCATTCTGCTAGATATACATCGCAGACTATCGAAATGGATGAGATAAATGAAGACCTGCTTTTAAAGCCGTTTCAGCATCCATCCCACCATCACAACATCCCTGTCATGCATACAGAGTAAGGCATTGCAGAGAACAGAAGCAAGGAGAGCCATCCTTCTCTCCCATCAGCCCCTGTGCCAGCGCTGGCTCAACGGGACCTTGAGAGCTCCTGCCAACAGCATGTCCTCCAGGAACCTGTGATTCACAACGTGTCGTGAAAAGACTTGGGTTTAGTGTGTGTGTGAGAGAGAGTGTGTGTCCAGAACAATGTCAGCCAAGAATCTAACGACTAGAGAGCACTATTATTCCTGGGCCTTGGGTGCATGCCATTTTTTGGTCATTAAGTGAGAGGGAAGAGGGAGCGAGCGAACCAGATCAAGTGAAAAAGATTAAGAGGAAGACAGGAAAACAGAACATGACGGAGGAGGGGAGGAGTGAAATAAGTTAAGGCAGACTGGGTTTTTGGCATTTCAGACATGATTCTGGCTCTGATATCTCAGGTAACTGGTCTGGGGAATAATGCAATGACAAATTTCATTTAAACTCCATGTTGTCTTCTCTCTCAGCTCTGCACATCCAGTCTACTGAGCCACAGGGAGCTGTGTCACTGCAGAAAATACAATAAATAGATTTTAAAAAATATATTCAGGCTGTATCCTTAATGGCAGGCAATTGGGTAATGAGACTCAAAGCAAGGTCAAAGGACAGAGCACATCAATCATTTGTCAGTTTCATTTTCCAGCTGTGTAAATCAATAACCTTAATCAATGATAACAGAAATGCCAAACTAAATTAAATAGACAAATGTGGAGTTATTGGAAGGAGGTGGAAGTATCACCAAGAGAGTATTTAGAAAAATAAAACTATTCAGCAACTGACTAATATCTATGTGTAGCTCTAGTAGTTAGAAAGCATTTTAAGTAGGGATGCACAGTATTATCTGTATCATATCAGCTATCGGCCAATATTAGTGTTTTTTTTTTAACATTAGTTAATATTGAATATATAGGCCTATGTATTAGGCCAGTATAGAACA